GAAGCCCTGCATCTGATTCTGCGAGTGCGGGGAGAGGATGAATGGGGAGCCACGTCACAGTGGCCCAGGAAAAACAATGGGGGCCTCAGGGACACAGATTGGCTTGCTTCTCATATGAGGCTTTTAAAAATTCCACAGCCACCTGGCAAAGCAGCACATTATTTCTGGAGAAATCAATTCATTCTAATTTTAACAAAATTTCACTTTATTAAAGCAACTTCACTCATCGAGATTCTAGCAGAGGCAATACCTGTGGAAACTCAGCTCATTGAAGGAAAAGGCACCTAACTGGCTAGTTTAGCAACAGGAAGACAGTTCTAGTGATTTGGGCTTTTTCTTTTATCGATTACAAAGTGTCAACCAGAACCTATCAGAATATGGCAAAACCTAATTTTATTAAACTATGTAAACTGAAAACAAAATGCAAATGGAAGCCCCCTGGGCCCAGGGTGTTTTCTGATGGCTCCCAGAACTGCCATCAATGTCAGACAAATACCACCTTCTGTTTCTTATTGAAAATATTTTTCCCATTACTGTGTAGGGTGTGGAGCTCCGGTTTCAATCCGCATCATCAAACATTTCTATCTTCTGTCAAAGGGGTTATCTCATCTAGAATTCTTCCTTCAATATTCCTTCCTCTCCTCAGAATGAAAAGGAAGAAGAGAAAAGAAGGAGGGAGGATGAGGGAAAGGGGGAATGGTTTTACAGGGTTTTCTGTAGACCATTTTCCAGCTGAGGGAACTCGGGTACAGAGAGGTTCAGCAATGTGGCCAAGATCATACAGCTAGTTGGGTTAGGTCTTTTAGGTTCTCCCATAACCTCTGACCATGACTGTGCCTTGGAAGTCATTACATCTCTATATATAAACCCCTACTCTGCGAACAGACTGAATGGTGGAACATCCGAACAACTGGTCACTATGACATGCGCCAACTACCAGGGGGCGCTCGTGGAACAGGATGGGCATTGGCAGCAGAGCACGGAACATGGCAGGTGAAAATTCTTTGCTCCCACGTGCCGCGGTCCTGCCAGGCATTTGCACCTGCTGCCAGCGCCGGCCCCGAATGCTCAGAGCCATCAGCAGGTGCGAGCAGTGGATGCAGGCCCAGATCGCCCCTGAGGGCTTCTCCACCTCCCCTGCTGGGGCCGGCGCCTTCAGCGCATGGGAGCAGCAGCGGCAGGAGCAGGGCTGGCCAGGAGAAAAGGGACCAGGCCGCGGCAGGAGGGGCCGGGCAGGAGCGCAGAGGATGGGCCAAGACCCACCCCTGTGCCTACTGCAGCCTCGCAGCCCACAGTTCCTTTCAAGCTGCATGAATTCATGCACTGGGCCCCTAGTTGTTTCATAAAAGTCTATAGAAACTATAAGTGCCTTAAAGGTGAGACCTTTATCTTAATTATCACTTATCCTGGTTTGTTCACTCAGTACTTGCTGATTAGCTAGATGTTGGTTGGTTGGATGGATGGATGAATGGATGGCCAAAAAAATGAATACAAAACCAATGAGAGAAGTCGGCTGAAGTCTGTTAAGGGCAGAAGTATTTTTCATTGAAGGTTACACCTTGGGTTCACATGGGCTCCATTTAAGAGATCCCTGGAATTTCATTCTTTTAAAAGACACTTGTGAGTCTTGCCATAAAACAAACAGCTCTAACATTTTTTCAAGCCAATTAAAATGATAATTCTTAGATAAGAGCATAAACATTTTTGTTTTCTTGCAGTTCAGGAAGAGAGGTATATTTTGCTCCAAACGAACTCAAGAAGTTAAAATTTAATTTGTTTGCTAAGGAAGATTTGCCAAAACGAATTACCTCTTAATGGAAACAAGCTACCAGGGCACTGTTCTCTCCTCGAGCAACGGTTCGGTGCAACCTACTGTAAAATTAAGCAGAGAGAAAAGGGCAGCGCTCAGGGGAGTTTAACACATTCCTTCTCACAGTAAAATTGGACCAATGTGGTAAGCAATTTACTGTTCTGCTCTAAACCCAAGAAGAGGCTAGAGTCACCAGGGCCATGGTGTTTTTGAAGAAAATCCCTGTCAGGTACAATGCAGATTTGTCATCCTCTTGTTCCTTATTTAAGGGGGACAGTAAATTCTCATTTGTACTATGACTACGCTTTTGAAGACTTCTTTATCCGCTAAGAATCCTATAAGAATAAACCCGATAAGATAGTAAATGCTTCACTTGATGTAGGATGGTTTAATGTTCCAACAGTTACTTGGCACTCTGAACTCTTAATGCTAAATTAAGATGAAAATCCTTCAAAGAACACAATGCTGAAGAATCCAATAAATGAGTTACACTGATAACAAAAGGTTCATGGTTACTTTTATAGTACTAGAAATTGACTTGCCCATAACAATAAAGGAATTCCACTCTTAATATACACTTACAATCAAGCATTTTGCCTAAAACTCCTGCCCCTACATCACTGGGGGAAATGTCATAGGTTACCATTGTACACACTTTCCAAAATTTGGGTGGATGATACTCTTTTCAAGGTTAGGCCTAACTTTGGGTTAAAATAAACAATTAAACATAGAACATTCATAAAAACTGACCACAAATAATAATAAAAATTAGAAACATAACAAAAATATGATCTGATCACAATGCAATAAAAACTAGAAATTAAGAAGCAAGGGACCATTTCCATCGATCAGAACGGCAATGATGGACACTAGAGACACTAACCTAATAAAGGTTTGGCACCAACGGGCACTTTCCTACACGGCTGGTGGGGAGAACTAACCTCCTAGACTGAGGCAATTCATCGCCTTTCAAAATTACAGAAGCTCGGACTAGCGGTTCCCAAACTTGCTTTCATATTGCATCACCTGGGGAACTTCAACATGCCTGGTGCCTGTGTCCAGCCCTAGAGGTTGGATTTAATTGGCCTGGGCTGGGCCCCGAGTCTTACACTTTTCAGAAGATCCCAGAAGATAACTAATGTGCAGACAAGTCTGGGGGTTGTGGGCTTATCCACCCTTTGTTGAAGCAAATCCAGTTCTTATTATTTATGAGACACATACATGTTCACACGTGGTGAGTGACCTATGGCATTACTCCCAGCTTTGTTTTGTAATACCAAAAGATGAGGAACACATAAATGGAACACAAAGGAGGCTCACTAAATAAATGCTGGATATTCATAAAGTGCAGTACTAAGTATCTCTTAGAAAAAGGTGCAGAAGTGTGTGAATTACATCTCACTAAAGCCGCTATGTATGTCTGAAGAGGTGCGGATGGTGTAGGCAGCATGCTCATATCTACGGGAGAATTCACACACACGGTGATAAGAGTGGCCATCTCTTGGGGTGAAAGTTTGCTTTTCTCTGTATACCCTTCACATTTGTACTGCGTTATGTATTAACTCTTTAAAAATGTATTTTAAAAATTAACACGACATCGAAAATCGACCAGGTCACATCACTATCCAGCCAAACGGAATGTATAAGCCAGCATCCCAAGGGGCAGGAGGGAACATTTGGGGATGACGGAAATACTCATCTCTAGAGTGGTGGCGGCTGCACACCGTATGTGGCTGTGGAAGCGCAGAGTTGTATTCCTAAAATGAGGACTTTTACTCTGTGTAAACTAGACCTTGAAAACCTGACTTTAAAATAAACCACTTTTTTAAAGACAACCAGACCTCTTGCACAATGCTGTGAGGACTATCAATAAACCAGTTTGGAAACTGCTCTGCTCTTGACCTCTGGAGCCGCACTCAAAACTGAGCCGGGACCACTCCCACCTTAACATCCAGCATCAGGAGGAAAGGCCCCAGGACAGAACGGGGAACCCAGACACAGACCTGCTGTGGCGAAGGGGCCTACAGTGGAGGTCGGGGAGTAATCTCAGTTAACAAAATTCTTCGGGTATCTTTGTACTCAAAATTTACCTTGCTCTTTCAAACTGCTCCATGGAATTGTGTACTATGGCTGTAATATTAATTGAACATTTTTCTCATTTAAAAAATGAATTGCCCTGGTGGAAATCTGTGCCCCGCGGCACAGGGGTAATGAACAGGGTACTGTTGTGTGCTGCCCTTCGGGAATGTATGGGGCTGTTCACGGCAGAAGCAAATGGCCTGAGGGCTGCCTCCGCCCAGCACTGCAGACGGCCCAAGGGCCAGAGCACCTGGGAGCCCTGGGAGTCCCTGACGCTGCGCCCCGTGCATTGGCACAGCCAGGGGGAAGGCTATTTGGGTCAGACTCCCCCAGGGTGGATTCTCTACAAACAGCCTTTCTTGTGCACAGGTGACAGCAGTGACGGGCGCCCTACTGCGCGGGACTCTCTGTGGTAGGAGCGCAGCCCAGGTGAAGCCCAGCTGACGGTGACTGTGACCGAGTGCCTTGGCTGAAGACCAACTGGCCGCTCTGCCGGTCACCGCGCCGACGGGTGGCCTAAGCCCGGCACCCTCCTGGGTCACCGCCGCAACCACAGCTACTTCTCTTGCTTGAAAGCAAGGAGACCTCCCTTCTCTTCTCCTCTGTGGACCCGAGTGCCTTCTAACGAACTTCTCAGGAGCCTGAAAGCTGTTGCCATCATCCTAGAAACCAGTTCCAAAAGCGTGGCATCATTCCACGCAGGGCCTTCCATAAAGGCAAAAGCTCCCATTACTTACCACAAGCGTGTCAGCTACGTACGATGGTGGGAAGTAACAGTCTGCAAACACCGCAGCGAGGTAATAAACGGTTCAATGCACTATGAGGCAACCACTGACATTTTAAAGAGGACACGTGCCAGTTTTTTCTCTTTAAGGAATTTATAATTTTAAAGCGTCAAAAATGCCACAGGATGCCAACTCCAACAGGAAATAAAGAGATGACAAGACCCCAAACAGCCTAAGTGACAGACATTACAAACCATAAAACGTGAAAAATGACCACTCTGGCAACTCAAGTGCTGGACTTGCAGAATCTCATCATCTTTAACGTTTGCAGAACATGTAAGTGCGTCTCAGAGATGCGAAGCGAGAGAAAGACCTGGGGTCCGTACCTGGTGAAGGCGGGGCTGTGCGCGGTCATCACCACCAGCAGCTTCAGGGCGTAGGCCGGGACCGGGCCAGGCTCCGTGAGGACGTGCTCGTACCTGGAATGACAGGTGACGGGAGAAGCGCTCAGTGATTTTCCTCCCTTAAACCCTTCTCTCCACGACAGAAACAAAGGGCTGCAAGGTGCACACACCTGACAAAGCACAGATGCTGAGACAAAGGTATGAGCTACAGGGTCTGCGCTGGCCAACGGGACGATGACACTGCCCACCTCCCAGTGTTGTGGGAAGTTCAATGAGACAATCCACTTAGGGCCATTAGGATTGAGCTGTCCACAGAGCAGGAAGCTTTAGCATCAGGGATCGGTGCCAGGGGTCCCCACGATGACCTGCACACTCAGAGATTTGCTATGGGACTCACAAGACGCCCATACAGCCAGATTCATGACGAAGATTTAGCACATGAGCCCCCTTACCCAAGGCGGGTATGTTCCAAGACCCCCTGAGGAAGCCTGAAGCGGGAAACACTACTGAACCCTATATATACTATCTTTGTTTCCTATACACACATATATACAGTCTATGGCTTCTCTCTGGCATATCCAACTGCCAGCATCACTCCTCACACTCTTTGGGGCCATCATTAAGACAAGGGTGGCATGAACATAGGCACCCTGATACAGCGACAGTCCATCTGCTAACCCAATGGTCACTAAGTGACTGAAAGGCAGGTAGCGTGAGTGGATGCGCTGGACAAAGGGAGATCCACAGCCCTGGGGACAGTGCAAGACTTCATCACACTGCTCAGGACAGCACACAACGTAAAACCTGTCAACTGTTTACCCTGGAATTTTCCCTTTAATATTTTCAGACCCTGGTCGACCAAGGGCAACCGACAGTGTGGATGGACACCACAGATAGCAGGGGCTACTGTGTAGCAGCGCAGCAAGGACGCAGAGCTGAGCTGGAGGGAAAGGCGCAGGCGGGTCTGGAGGGGTCTGGGCACAGACTTCCTAGGGCTTGGGCTCTTCCTCTCCCACGAGGGCTGACACGGAGC